AGCACTCAGAGCCAAGGGTTTATATAGCATTTTCAAAGCACTTAACTCATAGTAATTTTCCACAATTATACATTATTCTTGCAAGACATACATCCTGGGGTTAAGCAAGGGCAGGATAAGACTACTCCTCAATGGTTAGGGAGGTTCTGCACGATAAGCTTGGTATGTAAGATTAACTGACCAAGGGTCACAGCTGCCCACCACCCGGTGCTCATGATTAACTTGTTTTTCAAGGCCTTACCCAGTTCCAGTTTTTCTTTCTAAGTCACATACTCAGAAAATGGCTTCTAGGCCTTTAAGATGGCTATGCTTATGCTAACCTATTTCTATTCTTACAATTCTAAATATATAGTTGTTGGGAAACACTGGGTTAGGCAACTATGAAGTCTAATTTTAGGTGTGGCCTTTTATTTCAGGTATTTATTAAGTCATTTGGGTGGTTAGGAATCCCGTTGAGAATTTCACAAAATATTTAGAGCTTGTCTCTCAAAAAATGAACATACTGGCCAACAGTAAATTTGGCATAAGTGAAGTCCTTCCTGAACTTCTCAAGGGTCAAGGAATATTAGATTAAGTGGTACTGCTCTATGGGACCTACATAGTTAGCCAGTTACAAATTACAAAAATAATTATTCTGACCCTGTAAGGAAACAGTGGAAACGTTAGCGTGCTACCCAGAGCTAGAATAGTCTAACCTGGTATCACCTGGGATTTTGCCAGAAAAACACTTAGATTTATGGCTCTGACCATAAAGCCAATTGTGTTTTCATGTCTCATCTAACTTCAAAGTGAATGTATTACCACAGGTATAATTAATAAAATACTCTGGGTACACAGAACTTGATGCAAAACCTATCAATACTCATTTAAGTGACATAATTCCAATAAATGAGGAAATCTTATTGTCTAGTTGAGCCTGCCACTGGTAGTTGAGATAAAACTGAAGTCTATTTGAGATGCTATTTCTATAATGCTTTCAGCAATAATCTTGTAATTCCCATTATCACAAGAATCCATAAGCATATTTAATTTACTTTGTTGTTTTTTATTCTTTTAGCTTTTCAACATGTTTCCTGTCTTGGGGTTCCTCCTAAAAAGTCATAAGACAGTACTCAGGAATAGAGACGAATTATTTTCTTTTATAAGGATGACTTTCCTAGATCACCGTCATAAACTTGACAAAAATGATCTCAGAAGTTTCATTGACGCCTTTTTGGTCAGGCAGGAGGAGGTAATGCTGTTTTCTTCAGGGGTTAACCTTCGCCTATAATTATATGGTATAATTAGTAGCATCTGGCAGAAAAAAAATTCCTTTCCAAGAAGATGACTGAATTCAATTAAGTTAATAATGGTAGATTGGTACACTACACAAAGAATGCTGTTTATTACATTTTGCATTCTTGAATATTTTCTACCACTTTTCATATAACTCTCTGGGGAAAAAAAAGAAGACACGTAGAAGATCTCAGATGTTAGTTTTTAGAATTAGTAATCCTTTCTTGTAATCTTGAAAAGATGTGCTTCCATTGACAATACCAAGAATGAATGTTTCATTAATTAAAAAAAAATAGTGCTGGGAATATTCTAATTGCCAGTTAAAAACCAATTTCCAATAATACCAAATAACAAACATCCTTTCCCACTGTTATGATTATTTTATCTTTTTAGCCTCTGGGATGTGCTTTATTCTAAAATTCAGCACAACATTCTCATAAAAAATTCCACTGAATTGAGGAAAGGGTAAAATGGTGTTTTTAAGTTCATGTTAGGGCATTTTGCTATGATCGCCCGGTACACAATTATTTCATTACTAATGATTCCTTTTCCCCTTTCAGGAGAAATATACATCTACTGACTATTTCAGTGATGACAATTTGGTGGCACTTGTCAGTAATCTGTTTGTGGCAGGTACAGAGACCACGGCCTCCACACTGCGCTGGGGGCTTCTGCTCATGATGCGCTATCCTGAGGTCCAGAGTAAGTCTCCAGGGCGTTGCCTGAAGGACAGTCAGGACTCTCTTGGACTGTCTGCTCTAGGCAGAATCTATAGCCATACTGGATATCTTTAATTTGTACCCTTGAGGATAGTTTGTACTTTAGTTTCCTTTAGATGTAAGATTTTGCTCAGCTTCCTGAAATGATTGGAAGGTGTCATTACATGCAGGTCCCCAGAAGAGCTGTGGGAATGGGGCAGAGGTGCAGGCAGTGCAGTGAGATGAATGTGAACTCGACATCTGGGTTTGACTTGCACAAGTAAAGAAAACTGGGAAGACTGTTCCTGTATGCCCTCTACCCCAGACTCTAACTACTCTCCATCTTATCCAGAAAAGGTCGGTGATGAGATCACCAAGGTTGTGGGCTCGGCTCAGCCTCGAATCGCACACCGAACTCAAATGCCGTACACAGATGCTGTCATTCATGAAGTACAGAGATTTGCTAATATCCTGCCCACAGGCTTACCCCATGCAACCACCACAAATACTACATTTAAAAATTATTATATTCCAAAGGTAAGAGTTTCAGTAGGGGAGGTGAGGGAAGAGGGAGAGAGTGTCAGTCGCTCAAATTCACCAAAACTGAAATAAACCACCAAAGAATTCTCATCCTGCCTTTCTTCCCGCACTCCCTTCCTGCCTTCTTTTCCAGCCCCTCCCTCCCCACCACCCAACAAAAGGTAAATGAGTGTCTAAGCATGTGTATGTGTAGAAGAGGTAGGTACTAACTATTCTGTATTATTTTTGTTGTTACAGTTGAGGAAGTTGGGGTTCAGAGGGCTTAAACATAGTTGGTGTGTAAGGGAGCCCGTGCCAGGCAAGGCGTGTGCCTGGGAGCCCTGAGCTTGCACACACAGACTCCCTGTCGGCAGCAGCTGCAGGCTTCACATCTGTCCTCACCCAGAAAGGTGCCCATGCCTTCTGCTTCTCAGTATTATGACATCTAGAAGCAGCCTTGTGCTTTCCACTGGGCAGCTGAGAAAGTAGGTATAGATCTTTACTTACACTGAAGGCAGGAATTGGCATGCCCACAGCTTGAATTCTTTTCCTGATAACTTATCTGCTGACTGCTTCCAGGCCCACCTCTGCATGAATCTACAGGGCCCCTGGCCATGTGGACCCCTTCCGTGTACCATCATTTCCCATCCTGTGCATACCCTGCAGCCAAGGGGGCTACATTCATCTTTGGAGTTTCTCTTTCGTTGCCTGAAGGACAGTCAGGACTCTCTTGGACTGTCTGCTCTAGGCAGAATCTATAGCCATACTGGATATCTTTAATTTGTACCCTTGAGGATAGTTTGTACTTTAGTTTCCTTTAGATGTAAGATTTTGCTCAGCTTCCTGAAATGATTGGAAGGTGTCATTACATGCAGGTCCCCAGAAGAGCTGTGGGAATGGGGCAGAGGTGCAGGCAGTGCAGTGAGATGAATGTGAACTCGACATCTGGGTTTGACTTGCACAAGTAAAGAAAACTGGGAAGACTGTTCCTGTATGCCCTCTACCCCAGACTCTAACTACTCTCCATCTTATCCAGAAAAGGTCGGTGATGAGATCACCAAGGTTGTGGGCTCGGCTCAGCCTCGAATCGCACACCGAACTCAAATGCCGTACACAGATGCTGTCATTCATGAAGTACAGAGATTTGCTAATATCCTGCCCACAGGCTTACCCCATGCAACCACCACAAATACTACATTTAAAAATTATTATATTCCAAAGGTAAGAGTTTCAGTAGGGGAGGTGAGGGAAGAGGGAGAGAGTGTCAGTCGCTCAAATTCACCAAAACTGAAATAAACCACCAAAGAATTCTCATCCTGCCTTTCTTCCCGCACTCCCTTCCTGCCTTCTTTTCCAGCCCCTCCCTCCCCACCACCCAACAAAAGGTAAATGAGTGTCTAAGCATGTGTATGTGTAGAAGAGGTAGGTACTAACTATTCTGTATTATTTTTGTTGTTACAGTTGAGGAAGTTGGGGTTCAGAGGGCTTAAACATAGTTGGTGTGTAAGGGAGCCCGTGCCAGGCAAGGCGTGTGCCTGGGAGCCCTGAGCTTGCACACACAGACTCCCTGTCGGCAGCAGCTGCAGGCTTCACATCTGTCCTCACCCAGAAAGGTGCCCATGCCTTCTGCTTCTCAGTATTATGACATCTAGAAGCAGCCTTGTGCTTTCCACTGGGCAGCTGAGAAAGTAGGTATAGATCTTTACTTACACTGAAGGCAGGAATTGGCATGCCCACAGCTTGAATTCTTTTCCTGATAACTTATCTGCTGACTGCTTCCAGGCCCACCTCTGCATGAATCTACAGGGCCCCTGGCCATGTGGACCCCTTCCGTGTACCATCATTTCCCATCCTGTGCATACCCTGCAGCCAAGGGGGCTACATTCATCTTTGGAGTTTCTCTTTTTAGTGCACATGAAGCACACAATTGGAATGAATTAATCAGATGAGCAACTAAAATGGGAGAACAGATACAACCAATGTCAAAAAAAAAAAAACATGATTGAAGCAATAATGACAAGATTTTAGTTTGTTATCTTGCTGCAAGCTAGGTAGAGCATAGCATCAGTAAAAAACAGCATTGTATGGCAGTTAAAGGGCATTGCACTCCCCCCACCATGCTGTTGGGTTCTTCAGTGTCACTCAGCTCCCATCTTCTCTTTGGTGAAATTGATATAATTGGTATAACCTACCGTAGTTGTTACGAGGAGAAGGAAGTCCAGATACAGTACCCAGGTACATGTAAGTATAAATAAATGAAAGAAAGAAAAAAGGAAGGGAGGGAAGGAGAGAGAGAGAGACAAAGAGAAAAAGGAAAAGAAAGGAAGAAGGATAAGAAGTTTAAACCAAAACAGTTTAAGAACTTGTTTGATTTTTGTGACTTGAAAGCTATGTGGAAACAGCTAACCACAATGATAGGACTCCAAAGCTTTCTGCAAGTGAAAACTGTGATTAACTAAGGTTAAGTAGTATTATTGTTCTTAATTTGGGGGCACCCTTGTGTTATTTTTTGTATTATAGTTTTAGTTTTCAGAGTGCTTTCCTGTATCACAGTTATGATTACTTCCTTTGATGGTCGTAAGCTGTTTCAGAATAGGTACCAAGCTGTGAAGTGGGGAGCTTATTTTGAGAATTTGCTTTGATGGGATTGTTAGACTTAGCATGTCCACTACCATAGTCCCTGGAGGTAAAAGAGCAAAATTCTCTGTGCTGCCAAACCTACCAGGTTCTTTAATGCAGATCATTTCATCTAAGACTCAGTTACCAAATGAGGATTGTTTAACACCCATCATAGTGAATTTGGACTAGGAGCTATCAAAAGTTAAATAATAACGTTGTTATCACACAGCAAACACATGACTAAGTAAATTTGCTTCCAGGTCCAAGTCCAAAGCTTGTTTTTTAGTACTGAATAAAAGTTTGGTTGAGTAAATGAATGTTCCACACTCAGTCTCACACCCTTGCCTGCTGCCTCTCCACTTTCCCTACTTCCATTTCCTTCAAAACCTAGAACGCCGTGCTTCTTTGAAGAGCCACCTTTTTAGGAAGGAATTTAATCTCTCTAACAGCATTCTTATTTCTAGGGCACTGAGGTCATCACTTTGCTGACCTCTGTTCTTCAGGATCAAACACAGTGGGAAAAACCAGACATATTTAATCCTGAGCATTTCCTCAGCTCGACTGGAAAGTTTATCAAGAAAGCAGCTTTCATGCCCTTTTCAGTAGGTAAGGTATCTTACTTGGGAAAGACGATTTGAAAAATCTGCAGAGATTTGGCCTTGTGCTAAGGTTTTGTTTTTCCACGAGGAAGTAAACTTCAGAAAAACTGTACAGGAAAAAGCAGGGAGTGGAAAGAGCCTGGCCTCCCCCAACTCTGAACTGGCTGCAGGACAGCAGGCACTGGAATGACATCTACTTAGGTTGTCCCTGAAGATTCCTCGTGGCTGGATTAGGGCCGAGCCTGGGGAATTAGAGGAGAGAGGTAAACAGGTAGACAATGGACAGCCCACTTCACTCCGACTAGAAAAGCTTTGTTTTAATGTGTGTAAATGCCGGAGTTTCTCTTAAGATTTCTCGGGGATGGCAAGGAGACTGGGACAGGGAGGGCAAGAGAGAAGAGCGTTCCATCAGAGTAAACTGTGAAATCCTAAGAACTAAATGAACTTACTCTATAATCGTCTGGTTCCTAAGAACCTGAAATGAATTCTCCACTCTAGGAAAGGGTCTTAGCAAAACTGCATCATGAGCATTTGTCATCTTGGCCTTTAAGTGTATCCAAACGGCGGCTTAGCAGTCACCCCGGATACCCGCTCAGTGATAACCAAACAGCAGCCTCTCAAAGGATGACTTTTCACCTACTGATAACCAAGGAATACAGAGAGATACAAAGCACGCTCTGTTCTAATTTTTCACATACATGCATGTACTGGATGTTATACAAGGAAATGTTACGGTTAATGACATCCAGTTAAAATAAGGAACAAATCACATCTAGGACCAGAGTTAAAGAAAATGAAAAATAATCTACATATAACTTGCAGTGTTATGAGTGCAATTTTGCTCAACACTTACTCGCATTATATTTTGCAAAAAAAAAAAAAAAAGAGCCAGGGAAATATAAGCAATGGTTTCTGGATGGCACTTCAGCTACATCTAATTCCAAGCCCTCGTTTCACAAGTGAAGAGATGCAGCAATTATTTTATCACACACAAAAGTTTCTTTCCCCAAACTCCTTTATCACATCTTGGGCTTATTGCTGTTAATATTTAGAGAGAAGAAACTATGTTTTCCTTGATTCCCCTCCTCTCTCCAATTACTTTTACTTTGTCTCTGACCAGTATTATACCCAGGCCCTCCGGTTTCTCACACACCTGGGTCTGACGGCTTCTTTAGACTGTATGACAAGCAGCAGTAGTCCAGATAATTTCAAAGTGACTGATCCTTGCAAAGTGACTGATCCTCAATAGATTTTGCCAGCTTACCTCAGGAATTCTAAACATCTCCAGATATACTGCTTTGTTTTGTCTTTTCCTGTTTTAGGAAATTTAGGAGCAGTAATACTATTTTTGATCAGACAAACAAGCAGATGTATTTCTAAAATATGGGAATCACAAGCTGTCACAAAAAGAAAAAATTATTATAGAACCAATTTTGAGGGCTAAATCTCTCCAAATCCTCAACTCCCTTTGGTTATGTTCAAGGCACTCTTCTCTCCAGTTCATTCCTTATCACTTCCTTACTGCATTAGAAGAGAGGTTTTGCTCTCTGGAGGGCTTATTTGATCTAAATAAAGTCTTTAATCAGCCCCCAAGATCACTGTGGATTAATTTTGAATATAGCATTTCTTTCTAAAGATCACTTAGTATGTATTCACCTATTCATCCTTAAGAGTAAACTAAAATGATACATGCTTTATCTTGCTGGGCTGCTAGACTCTTACCACGAAACTCAACAAGTCCAAACACAGGGTAGAGAACTCACACCCTAAGTTAATCTATTTATCATCCAGTTAGATGACACCACACAATCATGCATTTCTTCCTGAGTAGGTAGTTAGATCTGACCCAAACGCTTAGGTGTTCCTTCCATGGACTCCCTCAGCACCCTATTCTAGTTTATGACATTGAATCATATTTATCTAATCCAGTGGACTCACCAATGAGGAAGGAAACCCTCCCTTTGACAGCAATAGTCTCAGAGCCAAGCTAAGTCCTTGTAACTGGCTGACATTAAACATACACTGGTGGAGTGAATGGGTGGCTTTTATTTATAAACACTTTCAGGCAGAGAGGCCTTCCACCCCTAAAAATCCTGCATGTTCCCTCCATTTGTAAGTTAATCTTTTTCCTGAAAGTGCTATGTTCTCTGTGTTATATCTGTGTTAATATCTACATTTTAATATTTTCTGAACTTTGAAGCTTGTGACTCAGTACACTTGAGAGTTATTTTCCACATTAAACAAACAAAAAATGACATCTAACTGGACTGTCTACAACATCTTACTAGTAACAAAGCAAAGTAGCAGGTTAGGATTTACAGACTCTGGGAGCAGGAATGAAAAGACCTGGTTGCATCTGCTGAAGGACTGGAAGCACAAACTTCTAATAATGCTATTATTATGTGATCATAATATGATCAATCACATATACTATCTTTGTTCTATAGTGTGACCACAAAGCTCATCAAATTTAAGCTGAAAAGAATGCACCAGGGACAGTATGTCTTGAGAGATATATGATCATTGTTACCTTGTTATTTCAACAAAAACTTAACCTAGAAAATGTCCTTCAATTTTAACTTACTTCATTTCTCAGATGTCTTGACATTTTCCCCAATAATTCATATTTCAAAAATAATACTAACCAAGTCTCTCTTCTCAAATGCCTCAGCATGATCTGGTTTCCACTCACTCGTCTGGTCCCAGGTCTGACTCCCTACCTCAAGCTCTACGTTCTATCAGTCACATTTCTTTCAGCCCTGAAATGCATCATGACCCCTTCCAGATCCTTCCATCTTCACCTGGCTAATTTCTCACTCCTTTGCACAAAATACAGATATAAAGCTCTGGTACCAAGGATGAGCTCTCCCTGGCCCTCCAAATTATACTGGCAAACTTTTTTATGTGTTCTCATGACATACTTGGTTTTATCTGTTGTAGTATTTTTTACATTAAAATGTTAATGTTTAATTGCTTGACTCCCTTGTGGGAGCTTAGAGAGTTGGCAAATACACTTAAATTTGTATTTCCAGGGCTTAAACCAGGAGACAGAGCCCATAGGGCTCAAAAGAGGTTAAGTGACTAATTCATGAGTTTTAAAAGTAGAAGAAATCACATGTAGATGATTGTTGTGTTTGTCCAGACTGTTCCATGGATTTTTGTGCTCCTGCGTCTTCTAATTGTCCAACACGTCCATCTCTCCAGGTCCCCGGATGTGTGCTGGTGAGTCATTGGCCAAGATGGAGCTTTTCCTATTCTTCACCAGCCTTATGCAGAAGTTTACCTTCCAGCCACCCCCTGAAGTCTCCCATCTGGACCTGGACCTCACTCCGGACACTGGCTTCACTGCTCAACCAAGGCCTCACAAGATACGTGCTCTGCTCCGGGCCTAGGCCCCGCATTGCAAGCCTCAGCGCCAGTTCTCGGAGTTGTGTTGCATTCCTTACCACCAGCTTTCCTTTTCTGCATCTTGCCAGCTATGATATTTTGCCAAGTACTCAAGCATTCTTTAAACGGTCAGCCACATCACTGCAGAGGAGTCTCATGTCAGGTCAGATTGAGTCCCTGTGCTAATCACTGAAGTAGAAACCTCCTTTCCATCATTCTCCAACACAGAACAAATGAACAGAATATTTGACAAACAGAACCTTCACTTTGTGCTCCAAGGTTTAGTCCTTCAAACCAAGATTATCCTTTTCCTCCAAAGCATATGAGACACCTAAGGTTCACCAATCAATCGTTCTAATTGGCGGGGCAGGGGGGATGTAGGAAGACCGTGAATATCTCCAAAACGGCAATGAAGAAAATTCAACCTTATAAATAAGGAGCACACTAAACGTTAAGATCTTGGCTCATTCTGTGAATAACCAAAAGGGGTGGGTAAAAACAGATAACTGCTTGTCAGTACTGCCAGTTTTCTCCCACTCCTTTCATAATTGGAACTTAAACACCCTACAGCCTTGTGCTCTGAAGTTTCCGTAAAGGCATATGCAAGGGACCCTGTCAGCAGAATAAAGAAATCATCAGTTCCCGCGGGACACAAGCATCTTTAGCTTTTGTGAAGTCAAATGTATCTCCCCATCACCACCAGGAGTGCTTCTCCCCTGCTCTTAGCTGATCCCTGTCCAAGTCAAAATTACATTGGACAAAGTTGAACAGTCAAGAAAAAACTTTATGTAAGGCTTCTATGAAGGCAATAGAAGAAGCCAGAATTCAGTCTGAATTCAACTCCACTGAAACAAAGGGAGGAAGGGTTTTTGAGTGCTGAGGTGAACTGGTGAAAAGAACACAGGATATTAGGCGCCAGCTGGATCGATGGCACGGGTCCTGTACACAGTTAGTCTTTAATGTGCAGATGCTCCCTCTGCAGTCAGGCCATCCATGTTTACTCGTGAGTCCCTGCTGACGTTAGACTCCACCCTCCCAGAGTCAGGGAGAAAGAAAGGGGCGCTGGCTTCCTCAATGATCACATTTCAAAGGGATGGCTCCCAGGTCCTTGAGAAAGACATCACCTGGGCTTGTAAAACTGGGAAGAGATTTTTTTTATTTTTAAAGATTTTACAACTCAGAGAATGTATAGTTTTCTCAAGAAAATGCTGTAGGATAAGGGAGGTCAGGTCCTAGAATTGGGAAGAAGTCTGTCAGAAGTTTAGTCAAGCTGAGAAGAATGTTAAGGCCTCCTGGTTATCCCCAGTCCAGCATTTTCCACAACGCCTTTTGAGAAGGAGTCAAATGGGGAATAGTCAGGTTCCCTAACTTCTCAGTTGCACTAAATGAAACTGTCAATGATAAAGAAAATGGGACTTGCTAATTTTAATTTATTGTTTGAACCCATTCAAGAGGCTTTTGAATTTTCTGAGTTACACTTAGCACATAATTGGTGTTTAATAATGTATCACTTAATTCCAAATCCGAAGTCAAAATTAACTCACAGACTGTTTCCTCTTACGTAGGTACTAAGAGAAATAGCTTTGATGAGAGATCAGGAAATCAGAGTTTTAATTCTAGACCTTTCTACTTCATGACTACATATTGGCAGTGGCACACTTAGTGAATCTGACACCAGACACCATAGTTTTTAGCACCAAAAAAGAAAATGACATTCAGTAATAATCATAAAATAAAGCAAATGATAACTTTGATCCATTGGGTAGTCTAATATAATAATAACTTATGTGAATAATTGTCAAATAAATATCAGTAATTGTCCAGTAATGATCACTAGGTAAACTTTAATAAAATTTAAAACATCTGCAAAAGAAACCAAACTAAATTATACCACTTATGTAATGGTTTTCTTGATTCTTTAATTTTAAAATAATAAAAAATCAATTTCATGTTAAATGTATTATCCAAATCCAGTAAATTGCTTGTATGTGAACTAGATTCACACTCATGAACAAAAAATACTACATATCACTGTTTCCTTACTTAAAATTTCATACATAGTAAATCACATTGTTAGTATTGAATAACAGTAATATTAGCATTTAAGTAACTCAAGTTCTTTTTCTTAATCACAACAATGGCTGTGTTCAATGCAGGAACATATATGGTTGGAGACTCAGAGGGCACTCCTAGTGATTTTGAGAGATTCTGAACCCTTAGGAATTTATTCTCAAAATGAATGTGTGCCTAATTCCACGTGTGTCTGAAAGTGAGAGATATTGCGGGGACAACACCAAGAGTGCTTTATCTTCCACACAGAAAAAAACAGTAAAGGAAAATTAAAGTGTGCTAATCTGAAGCTTACATCTATCTGCTATCTATTAAAATTCAAAGAGCAATCACAGGAACTTTTTAGACTTTAGATCAAAGGATAGATTTTTTTCCAAGAAGAATATTTTAACACTAAAGTACATGGAGACGATAAGATTTTTAGTTCCGCATTTTCACTGCTTTAAGATCTATACAGACAATACATTGCTTATTTTTCACGCCTGGGAAAATTCCTGTCCATTGCCTAGTTCTTGGCGTGCCACTGAATATGTATGGGTCACAGAAGCTCCTTTCTTCCCTGCCAACATTTTGATGATAAGATTATTTCACTTGTAAATTCACACATTTTTCCACTCAGTTGTTGGGATGAAAGACTGCAGAGCCTGAAATTTAAAACCTCAGGGATGTGGATCAGTCCTGAGGCTGGGGTGGGAAGCCCACAGGCGTGCTCAGGGGTGTCTAAGTCCTGTCGGAGAGGTCAGGGAATGCTTACAGAGGCTGACTGGTCAGAGACCCTGCCTTCCCAAAGGAAACTAGACTGGGTGTTTTCTCATCTTCCCCTAGAGAAGTTAGGAAGATTTACGTCTCTAACTAAAGAGCAGAGTACTGACTAGAGTTATACAGATGCCAGAGTGTTAAAAAGTCACAGTCTTTGTTTTCTTATCTGAATCGGCTGATTCAAATTCAGGCTCCACTGTTCCCTCTGCCCCCTCGCATTTATTGCATCAAGATGCCAAGTCCTGACTCAGCAGCAGCAATGTTGCAACTGTATTTTTTTAAAATGACTTCCTGCCCTTCTTCCCTTAAGGAGTTTTTAAGCAATATTGTTTCACATTCTTAGATAATTAAAATAACTACGATTCTGAAATAGTTTCAATTTCAATCATCAATGTTTCCTTACAAAAACTTCAGAATAGGGCTTTTTAAAAAAACATGACAAAGATTTTAGAACTCTGCCAATTTACAGATCAATATATATATTTTACTCTTCTGCAATCTCTAAATGTTTTCATACTTCTACGAAGTATGATTCCATGGAATTGTACACTATTGTTAATTATGGGGAATATAGAAAAAAATAAAAACTTTTTAGTTACTGTGACAAAAGAGGATACAGAACTAAACAGAGCATATATGTCAATGCTTCTCAAACTATAATGTGAATATAGTCACCCAGGGATCTTGTTCAAGTGCAAGTTCAGATGCAGTAGATCTGGAGTGGCCTAAGATATTGCACTTATAAAAAAAAAATTCTTGGGGATGTTCATGCAGCTAGTTCACAGACCACACCCCCAATGGCATCAGTATGCAATTAGTTATATAACTGACAATAATCAGGTTTTATATATAGTTTATGTTCAGAAAAGTGTATGTATATATGTATATACACAAAAAATAGAATAAATAAAACTAGACTTGAAATATACCAAATGTTAAGAGATGTGGAGTCATAGGTTTTCTTTCACTCCATTTTTCTTTTTCCTTGCAAACTAACATTCCCTCAAATTTTTCTGCAGTGTACACAATTTTCTCTTTCAATAGCTAGCTTTTGTTTTTTCTTTTACTAAGCAAAAAGCACCTCAAGTGCTGGTGATAACCATAAGAGCAGGAAGTCAAATGTAATGAATCTCAAAGATGACTGAGCATGTGGACGAAGATTTTAAAAGAAGTGGACACTTGCTTGATGGTTATGTGACTGTAGTAATTGTCTTACAGTCACTTGAGTATCCAGTTTCTGGAAGTCCTTGCTGTGAATCATCCACCTGAGTCAATTTTAAAGGATCACATTTAGCCAAGACCCAGCCATTCTTAAATTTCTTAGGATACCCAAGTTTCACTTTGGAGTCACTCCCAGGACACTCCAAAGGGAAAAAGATTCCTCAGGATCTTCACACAACCCGGTTCTGCTGGAATCAGGAAACCCTGTGAAGCAAAGTCAACAGTACTTCAACTTATTACTTCTGGTAACGGAGACATCTGTTCAAAGGACATCTATGAGCACACTGTAGGCAGTTAACAGGGAGGTTAAATGCTTTAAAAATAATTCTTACTGAAAGGAGATAAAATTAACCCAAACATACTTGGATTAAAGGAGTTAAGGTGATTTGAATAAATATACTTTTGACAGCAAAGAGATAAAGCGAAAACTCAACGCGCCTATCCTGCATTTCTGAGACAACAGGGCATCAGATTTAAAATCCCAGAAGGAAAACAAACTAACCTGACAGACAAGTCCTTAAGAAAGTGTTCAAAGCTCCTGTCTGCCAAAGGGACTAAGCAGTCTATGTCATTAACCATGGCACACCTTCGGCCTCTGAAGCCTTTTCTAGGAATTTAAGGAATGTATTCAGTAATCCACTACATGTTGGGAAATGAATCTTTTCTTTCAAGAATACATAAAAGAGTCAATAAAAACCACTGGTTTGGTTTCTACAGGATTGCTTGTATTGTATGCCTTCAGCTGTTTTTTATTAAATAAAACACTATAAAGCCCGGTTAGGATGACTGTGAACTAAATAACAATACTAGCGATCATAATAATAGCTAACTTTGTGCATTTATTGTAAGCCAAGCATTATTCTAAGTAGTTTTCATTTAACTTAATCCTAGGAAAAAATTCTGCAAGGGTAATATACCTTATTATCCCTTTTGAACAAATAAGGCCACAGAAGCACAAGGAGATGAAGCACTTGCCCCAAATCCTGCAGTTAGGAAGGGGCGGAATGGTTTTGAACACAAGAAGCTGAGCTCCAGGTCTGCCTCCAAACAGCAGGCACCTGAACGATGTTAATATTTTGGTCAGTGTTAAGGCTCTTCCTGTTGACCATATTCAATGCTCAATCACTGGAGGCATACAATGACTCACAACCAAAGTTACTAAGTCGTGCCTGAAATTTGTCTTCGAGGAAGTTTAACCTCACATAATAAAAGTTAGTCAGGGTTGTTGGAAGAAAAGTGTTTTCTTCATTTTATGGGGCCTACCTTTTCTATTGACCAAGCAGTTCGGAATACAGATGAGTCAGGTGCTGAATTCCTCTCACAAATGAGGGTCGCTTAGGCTTGAGAACTGCTAGTAGTGATTCTCCAGGCAAAAGGCCTTGCAGAACATCAGTGACATTCCAGTGATTCCAGCACTTTTCACGTACATGATGAGTCAGAAAACCCAGGGTGCCCAGTCATCCTTTGACTCCCTAGAAGTCGCTCTAAAGGCCAATGCCAGACCTTCCAAGGGATGTGATTATCTTCTTATTTACTTGGTAAACATATGCAATCACTAGCTGTGTGACCATGCAAGTCCCATGACCCTTAAGCCTAGGTTGGCTCATCTGTAAAATAGGGACATGACTTACCTATCTTGTCCAGAAGGAAGCAAGAGGTGGATCAGGTATGGGAGGGTGTTTCAAGCTCTAAACTGAAAATAAGGGGCAAAGAGTCCCACTTGCTGTGTTGATTCTTGCAGTAACCAAATACTCCTTTAGCAGTGCCTAAAGTCAAGTTCATCTCTAGAGAGAATGAATGCTTTGGTCCCCACAGACCTTCAAACCAGGACACACTACTAAAGAATTAAAGATGGTGTTTAATAACAAAGAAGTAGTAAAATAAAATGAGTTCTTTCAATGGCACCAGAAGTATTTTTTTTTTCAACAGCACCAAGAGATAAATATTTTCAATCCAGTCTTGACTACAAATGTTACTAATAAGGAACTATGGACAAGAATAAGAGAGACAGTCATTTTATGACAGAGTATACATTATTTACCGTTAGATCAGATTTATCGGCAGTATTTTAAACAGTAAAATGATTCAAAATTTCAGATGGGAGGCGTTTTCACTGGACTCAATTAGGTATGTCGGGGTAAACCCCTTTAAATGGCATTTCACTTTCAAGGCTGCCTTCTGTTCTCCCTTTTTTTTTCCTAGCTCTTTTCTTCCTAATACTTAAATGTGAGGTGGGAGGATGGGGGGAGAAAAATGTGCACACCAGGAGAGAGTAAAAGGAGATTTTACTTGCGTTTAAAAATTTTTCCCCTTTCTGTTACTAGGCTCTCTTTCCATCCATTCCTACCCCCTTTGCAGACTTGCAGACCTCAAACTTCACTTCTGTTCTTAGGTCTTAAAGAGAAAGGGAGGGGGCAGAAAAGAGATTAACTGAGAGGTTGTGCAAAGTGAGAATTAACAACACATTATTTCAAATCTTCCACATTCTGCTGATTTTAAAGTACCTTTTCTTCTCTTCGGAGTGACTTAGGTCCCAGACCAACACAGTGTTTACGATAAAAGAGGTATAATGTTGCTTACAGTTCTGCAATCTGTATTGGGTGCCATCTGTCTCCCAGAAGCCCTGCCCCAGGCTCTTAAAAGTTCCTTGCTGTTGGTATATCGCAGGCTGGGATTCCCCGAAGAGCGTTTTCTTAAGGAGCATCGCTCACTCCCCACCAGCCCGAAGATTCCTCGGGCTCCTCTTTCCAGTTAAACCTCCTCAGGAGTCAGTTCCCTGGGGACCGTGAAACCATCCTGTCTCCGCGGCGTTGTGCTCCTCTCCCTGCCAGGTGAGCCCGGGGCTCTCCAGGGGTCCCTGCGCCCCACAGGCTGCCTCACTCCCTGCTGGTGCGAAAAGTGATGGCGGTCACGGTGTGCTCCTCCGTCCGTGTGGTCATGCGGCCCTTCGTCCACGCGCTCCGCAGGACTTCTTGGGTCACCTCGTAGTCCACGACGCGCACGAGCACGGATTTGGGTGCGGATGCGGGGTCCCGTTCAGGGGCTCCGAAGGGGGCGTCTACACGGCTGCCAGAAATTCGCCTTTCTCTCGGAAAGAGAGAGGGGCAGTCCGGCTCCAGGTCGTCTCCGCCCGCCGGGAAGAAGTCCTCTCCACCGGCCGCCTCTCCCCGCGCGGGGTCCCCTTGAGTCCCCGACCACCTCTCGGGGTGCAGAAGGAAGAGCACTTTCTCTCTGACCCAGGACTCGCAGTCCAGGCTCTCGGTGGCCCCGCGGTGCTCGTGGGCGCCCCCCCGGCTTCCGCTCGCCGCCGCTGCGGGACTCCGAGCGCCCGGGCCCGGGGGCGCCCCGCGCTCCACCTCGCCCGGGAGGGACCCGGCGCGCGCCAGGCGGCGAGGGGCGTCCGCGAGGTACGGGGCTCGGGGGCTCGGGGCCCCCAACCAGGCAGCAGGGCCATTCATCCGCAGCGGATCTGGGCGCGCGGGCCCCGCCGGCCCAGGGTGTGGGCTCGCGGCCGGCCTCCCGCCCCCCCGGGGCGACCCCGCCTCCTCCCCCGCCGCCCTTCTCCGCCCCGCCCACCTCGCGGCTCTCCGTCCCTCCGAAGCCAGAAGCCTGGCATCCCCCATCCCTCCTCCCCGCCGCTCCCCTCCAGCCCGACCGCCGTACTCGAATTTTTTATTCTATCCGCTCTTCTGTGTCAGTTCCAGCCTAGTTGCCACCTGCCGTTTTCCTCCAGCGCAGAGGCGCAAAAGACATTCACGCGCTGCGCCCCCCGGGAAAGGCCCCAAATTACGTCTTCTTAACAAGGACGCCCTTCAAAGTGAAGAAACAAGGAAGGTTTTTTTTAAAAAAATTATCTGATGTACTTATTTCTTCAAAAAAGGGTTTCGTTGTTGTCCACTCCGAATCCACCCCCCACCAAGCTGCCAGTATTATTGAAGGCAGATCAAGGGATCCAGCTGGAAAAGTTGAAATCTTTGAAAACCTACTCTTGGTTTGTTTGCTGTTCTTCCTCTGGGATGCCAGGATCTGTAGGACAGTGGCATCCCTGCCTTTATTTCGGTTATAATCAATGCTTATGCCAGGAAGGGACTTGATGCCTTTGGTCAAACAGAACAAGCAAAAACAAATGGCTAAATGAACGACTTCAGGTTTTAAAATTCTATATTCGTGTTGTTTTTAAGTTTCTGCCTTCACTGCCTAATGCCCTTCTCATTAACGTTCAGAGGTTAAAAAAATACACATCTCTAGACTTTTGGAATCTACTCATTGTCAGACCCTCCGACACATTAACCTTTGCCTGAGATTAATAGGGAAGACCAGTTAATAGAAAAAGGGGAGCTTTGTTTCCAGTTCATCCTTGGCAACAGGTGTTTGTTTTATCAGAAAATGTTGTTTTCTTTTAGAAAAAAATTACTGCAATGTCTACATCAGAAAAACTGCATTGGTGGAAATTTCTGCCTATAAATGAAGGACCAATTAGTATGGTGAAAACTAATTGTTTGGGATGTTTGGGAAAGACAGGCACTTCGGATGTCTGCCAACTCATTAAAAAAAAAAATAGTTCCAGAAGTGAGAAAATCTGGGTCAGATCTGGCTGATCAGATGCCTGACCTTGGGCTGGTTGCTGTTAAATCATATAGTTTTTGAGTATTTTAGACAAGAAGTGTTGTAAGAACTCTATATATTTAAACTCATTTATTCTTCATAACAAACTAAGGAAGAAGTACTGTTACTATAGTTGCCCTGAGAACTTTGAAGAACTGGGAGATGAAGTATTTGCCCAAAGTCAAGCCCCAATAAACAGTGAAGCCAGGATTCTAACATGTTTAAATGCTTCCTCCTATTTTAAACTACTTTCCTATCTCAGCTGATGACTTCATGTTGTTTTCTATTCGTTTACTTAACTAGTAATTACTGAGTGTGTGCCACTCAGTCATTGTCAGCCACTGTTCTAGGTGATGGGGACATCTGGGAGAACAAGCCCAGTTACTTGTCCTCTTCAAGTTTTCATTTTATGTATTGTGGATAAAATGAAGGTTCCTGTGGCCAGGATTCTCACCTGGCCCTGGTTGGCTAGCTCGCTACACAGGTGTGGGCAATATGTCATTATTGATTCTATATAAAGAGCCCTGCCAGTGCTCTGTGACACGGTGGCATGGCTGCAAGGCTGCCAGAGAGCAGAGCAGAGGCTAGAGTTGTGGCAGTGCCGAGGACAGAGGCCCAGAGGACGGTTGTGTGGGATGACTGTGCAGAGAGGCCCAGAGGACGGCTATGCAGAACAGCTGTGCAGATAGAGGGGCCCAGAGGCAGAGACCAGCTTGCTGCATGCAGACTCGCTCTGAGTAATCGGGATTGTAGTGATCCACCTGCCACTATGGAAATAAAGTTGGGTATAACCCTTTCACCCCGAAGAATGTTCTACTGTCATTTCTTTGGTCACATTGAATCCATAGTGAGCTTTCCCAGGGTTGAAACCCATTGGCAAGACATGTATGCAGTAACATACAACCACTCCTCTGTCCAGAAGTAAGAGATAAATTAACTGTAATGTAAATAAAAATCACATGAAGGTTAATGCCTTACCCTATTCTCAAGGATTTTGTTCTTGAAGGCTTGGGTTAATGCTTAGAATATGGTTTTTTAGCAAGATCCTCACTAATTCCAATGCTAGTGGTCCCTGGACAGCTATGAGAAACATTATCAAAAATCTACATAGATAAGCTTTAGGCATTTGTGTTTTTTTCTGCTTTCAAGTGGCAATAAGAACACTTTATTTTCCTTGCAGGAATACTAGGAGAATTCCAGTGATGGTATCTGTATTCCAAGGAAAATGTAATGAAACCAGATTTACTGCTTTCAAGTCATTTTCTTGCCATTGGGGGATTGGGTGAAGGCTTAGATTGGAAATGTGGAATGGGAAAAACCTATTTGCTGGGAAATGAGAAATTCCCTGATCATATAGCACCTGAATTTCTAGATGTCAAGAAGTAGTGCACTAATGCATGCAAGAACATTAACAGGAAATGCAGAATAAATTAAACTGCAAAGCCTAAAAAGAATATATAACAGAAACAGGCAACTTGCCTCCAGGGAAGTGGTGTCTGTTGTGCTCTAATATCTCAAAGTGCCTAAAAGGCTGATAAGGGGTGCTGCAGTGAACCCTTATACTTCCTCTCTAAATTGCCTACTATACTTGCAAATATGTAGCCAGTGAGGTGTAGTAAAATGATTTGTATCCCTGGGACCTGAAGTGTGATACAGACACTGTGCCCTGGTAAGGTCAAAAGAAGCCTGTCATTAATAGCCCAGTCTTCCAGGGACCCGGCCCTCTCATTTTGTCTATTAGAATCAGAGGTCATTTTAGAGAGTAATGACATAGGATCTCTCTGTTACTCTAGTACCTCTGCCTTAGAAGGCTTACCCTCCACTTACAGGCCTAACCCCCAGTGTGTCTGTATCAGGAGGGAGGGTCTTTAGGAGGTAACTAAAGTTAAATGATGCCATAATGTGGGGCCCTAATCCAATAGGACTATAGCCTATAAGGAAGAGAGGTACCCTTCTCTCTTCCATGTGAGAACATAGTGAGATAGCCATCATCCAGTGCAGGAAAAGAGCTCTAGTCACAACCTGACCACGCAGGATCTCGGTCTCAGCCTTTCAGCCTCCAGAACTGTGAGAAAATAGATTTCTGCAGTCAAGCCACTCATCTGTGGTATTTTGTTATGGCAACCCAAGCTGACTGCTATACCAACTGTAAGTAATTTAAGGAAAATAGACTTTATCCTAAGGATATTAGAAGCTCACAGGTTTGTTGGGAAAGCAGGAACACCAGACTTTAAAATGGGAAGAGCTGTTGCAGAGGGATAGGAAGTTGGAACAGATTTCATTGCTGGGTGAAAGAACAACTCACCCTTGTCCTGTGGCACTTACGCAGGAGTCAAATTCCCACTCAATAGTATCCAGGCTTACCTCCTGAAACAACGCAGGACAGTAAAAGGAAAGATATAGTCAAAGAAGCCTTTAGGGAACTCTTTGGTTTCTACAATGGAGAAGCAAACAGCTGGTCTTTCCACCTAACAAAACTGTACAATAGAGAGAGCTAATAATCCAAAGAGAATTCAGGGTGTTGTTAAGAAGAGTTAAAAAAAAAGATCTCACTAATGTCTACCACACCAACTATTATAAACAGAATTTCAGTATGGTTGTGACAAATAGGTATTCTGGATAAAGCAACATGAACAATGGTGCAATGGTCAGCATGAAGACTTATGTAGAGAATGGTTTTGTCCTTGACATTTCTCTTCCCACATGTCTAAAATACTCTTCTTGATTTTATCCATTCCCATTACTTCAACTGCAACCTGTACACTGTTGATCCTCAAATTCATGTGTCTATTGGGGTCATGCCTCCAATTAGGGCGGCTGTCTCTGCTATGATCTGAGCATCAAGACAACACATGGAGCAGAGCTGCCTAAAGGAACACAAAGCACAGGTGTGAGAACAGGGTGAGGTTATTCTGTAGAAATAAAATCCAGCCTGATTATGGATGGATCTTAAAAACTACAAGTCTTTTAAAAGAGTTTTAATCATATTTCCTTTGACAACTAGGCTTTCTTATGACTTAGAGAACTTTGTGCAAAGAAAATCAACACTGGACTGAATCAAGAGGTTTTGATGGGCCGTATTATCCTGCACAAGTCTTCCAGTGTCTCCAAACCTATGTTCTCATCCTCAAGGTCCTGCTTGTTTCCAGGGTTGTTGTGGAGGTCAAATGAAACAATTCCTCTGGTAACACTTTGAAAAACTATAAGGCTTGAAAAATATTCTTTTAGTGTAATTTTTTAAAGTTCATGGTTGATTTTTAGGACTGGGGACCCAAAACAAAGTTTTTAATGAGATCTTCAGGGAAAGATGCAGAAGTCAAGGCCAGGAGCTGGGAAATGAGACGCATCATCTTGGCATAGAGATGCTAATATGTTGGTAGTTATAAATTGGGGGAAATAAAGAATGAGTAGGAGTGTGGCAATTCTCTGAATATCAAGCAGCTTGATCCAGTGGCCTGAGATAAAATGAATATTGAGGTAAACTTTTAAAAATTTCTCATCTTAAATTTGGAATGACCAGTGTATGTGTTCCTGGGAGAAGAAAAAAGAGGCTTAAGTAGTAGATAGCTCTGAGATCAACTTGCCATATATATATTTTAAATGAAACATTGAAACACATTGCATTTTTTTCTTCATAGAGATATGGCAACCCCTAAATGATGTTAGCCAGGTACTTTGAAATTTGGGGTTAAAAGACAAAGAACATTAGGTTTGCCAATTAACTGGTTGCAAGAGATGACTCATGTAGCACTCTAGTTACTGCTTACATGAGATTTAAAATTGCAATTCAATGTCAGCTGCCTGTATTACCCAAAGTTTTGAAGTGTATTCATATCATCCTCTCCTGTCAGAGATCAGGATATAAGAC